TTTTTCGGGTCAATCAGAAATACAATTTGGCTGCCATGGCCGCTATTTTGCTACTAAATTCTAATAGGCCGATCTCACTTAAAATTGGTCTAGGAATGATCAGCTCATGGTCCTGACAAAGTTAAGTTAACATTATACTATTTTTTACTCAAATTGGTACATATTTCAACAAAAAAAAAAATACTGTAGACTCAGGGGCCTCTTGTCTCAGTTTAGATCTACTTTCAATGATCATATATACGAGATGATCATTGGGGTGTCATTTTTTACCGAAAGTCGATCTAAACCCCGAAAACATGTAAAATTATTCTTAACACCTTAGTTTAGGTCCAAATATATATAGGCCTATAGGTCTAGCTGTAACAAATTCTCAGGTCCCTGTGATTGTGACCAATTACTTGTCGCAGTCGCGAAAGTGACCATATTAAGTTTGCTGAGCTCATTCTAAAGGACCAACATGCTTAGATCTACATGCATAATAAATGTCCCTTAACTGGCTGGCATAAAGTGCTACAAAAAATAGCAAACTTTTTAAAGCTAAATACTTGTAAAGAACATTTCTTGTATTTGAAATACAATACTCTAGACAAAACATTAAATTTGTTTATTATATAATTTGCAAACCAGTTTATGATATTCAGGTTAACATTTGACAAGCAATATTTTAGACAAATTAAAATGCATGTTTGAAATTTGTCAATTGTAATTGTAGATGTTCCATCCACTCTTATTACTTTGTATAGGGAGCCAATAAAGAACCTGAAGGGAATGATGAATTTTCAGGCATTCCTGGTGGAAAGTATGGTTTTCTTCAACTACTTGATTGTGCATATGAAGATGGCTTTAAATGCACGATTTGTGGAGAAGTGCCATCCACCATACTTATGGGTGCAACAGGCCTTTCACATCGGAAAGTGTATGCCCCACCAGTCCCAGTGTTAACACTCGAGGAGGAAGGGTGTAAGTTTCCAATAATTAAGTCAGTATTCATCATTCTTCATCTTTTTGATTAAATTAATTATTGTTAATAAGTTTCATTCGAGATATATGTTATTAACGCCTCAAATAAAAACACTTCAACATCATGAGTAAGAAAAGATGAAAAAGGGACAAAATCAGTTTTCATTATCCAGGATAGAGCTTGTACATAATACGAAAAATGTCCAGAGTTTTTCTACCTTTACGTCCTTTTTATGGCAATACCATGTGAACGATTTTTAGGGCATAAGCTCACGGTGGATATTGACCAAATTTGGTCTGGAGTATCATTGGCTAACTACTTATCAATTTTGTATTAACGGAAGGTATAGGCAGATGGACGGGGCCAAATAGGGGGGAAAAGGTAAATCTTCAAAAATCTTATTCTCAAACAATAGAGAGATTTTGCCAAATTTGTTCTAGAGCATCTTTGGACTAAGGAGACTAGATTTTATATAAACGGAGGGTGTGGCCTCTCTGGAGACAGAGAGGCGGGGCCCAATAGGGAAAATAGAGAACAATCTGTCTCCTTGTGTACAGATGAAGGGATTTAAACCAAATGTGGTCTGGAGCATCCTTAGGGTAAAAAGATTCAATTTTGTATGAACTGAGGGTATGGGCCCAATAGGGGAAATTTATGTAAATCTTTTCAAAGCTTTCTCCCTCTGTGTGGATAAAGGGATTATCACCAAAGGGACTATCTCCAGCTATGTTAAAATTACAGATATAGGACTGCCGCCTTAAAACTTTTGTTTCAGAAACTTTTAAGTGCTACAAGATTTATGCTGCTGTTTTAACTTTTTTCAATCCCTCGTACATCACGAGTTATTACTTTGAATCACTCTTCTAATTATCTATATGATTAATTAACCTAATTACAGCATGGGGGTCAAAAAAATGGAATATCAGCCTGAAAGTATTTTTCTGAAAAACAAAAATCATATAACTTTTTGCATCGAAATACTTGGGAAAGAACTTTTTCTTTCATGTAGTGCTTCAATATTATATTTATCATCCAGAATGTGAGTTTAATTGAACATTTTGTTGTATATAGGATTTTTCATTCTTGTTGGACTTATATACCAACAATTTTCATAGTATGAAAAAGTGGTGTTATTTCAAAAAGGAATGCAAAAATTCAGTCCAAAACAAGTGATGGAAAGTATTCATTTGGCACAACAAAGTACCCTGTGTACCCAAAAAGGTGAGGGCCTATGACACCTAGCTGGTATCCACCAAAAAGCAATGCACCTGATTACAGGTTATTGGTAATGAAATTCGCTGCAAGCCTATTAGCCTACAATGAACCTTTCAGTGCATGTTAGGTCAGAAACAATTCCAAATTACGATTAATTCATCACTTGGCGTTATTGATAAAGGTTTTGTTAACAATCAATTTTGAGATCAAATGTAATTCTCTTGTCACTGTTTTAGAACTTGTTCTTATTCCTTTTTTGGACATTTTTTCATCAGACTTTTGTTTTTACATTGCTTTAAGGTGATATTTCAAACTCATTTGTTAATATTCATCTCATAATGAAGAGTAAATGTATTGGTGAAGGTCGCCGTCATATCTTCGCAAAATCTTGAAAACGTAAAGGTACACCAAATGTAAAAAAAAATCCATAATATATATGCCTTTTGAATATACTGACTAAAAGTGGGATAGATTGCTCAAATGAAGAAGTTAGAATTAGTCAGAAGTGCTACATAATGTATCTGCGCTAAAGAGAATCTGAAACAGAACGTTTCGAAGATGAAACTACTAGAAGCTTTCTTCTCTTAACAATCAAGGACCTGTTTTACGGGTCATGTGAACATAAAGTAATGTTGTCGCTGTTTTAATAATTTTTATTCAAAAGGAAGCAAATCTACACTTCTGCAAAAATGTGCCAGGCATCAGTTAATTTTGACACACAAATTGTGGTGTTCTGCGTCATCACGTGTATGCTCATTTAATTTTATTGGCAATGACCTTAACCCTTGTACGCAGGTTATCCTATAAGAAAGAGGGTCTTTAAACTCTCAATTATGAAGTAAATCGTCTGAAATAATTGATGACCTTTTAGAAGTGCCGTACATCTTATCAAAGAATCTATCAGCCTTGATTCTCAATTTTTGTCTCTTGGATGACCAAGGCTGCAAAGCTTGGAGAGGTTGGTCAAAGAACAGTTTCTCAAAATCCATACATACTTTGTCCCATTTCTTTCTTCCTCAGTCGGTATATACCAAAACTACGCAAAATGCTCTTTTACTGTTTTGGGTTAAGATGAAAACTGATCTCTTGTAATTAAATGTTCCGCTCTCTTTGACACTTCCCTGCCTACTATTTCAAAAGCTTTTCATTTTGTAGTACAAGCATTGAATAAATCTATAGTTTCAGTGTTCCTTTGTCCTTACCATTTGAGTAGGAAACGGTTACTTTCATACACTATTTTATTCTCAGAAACATACTTTGTAGACAAAGTGACTGCCTTCGATGGTACATACATTTATATTAAAAAAAGTGATAACCATAAGCTTCAGAGATGACCAGAGGGAGCGTAATTATCTTAAACTCATGGACATAGCTCTATTTGATGGCTACATTTTGGACACAGTAGGACCATTCTCTGGAAGCCAAAATGATGTAAGCATTACAAAAAACATCATAGACAAGCTCCAAATGGTTGGAGCAAGACGATAATATTAATGTAGTCGTTGATCGTGGTTTTAGAGATGTCCTGCCAATGTTAGATGCATCTGGTATTAATACCAGTATGTAATCGTATATTAAGACTGGTCAGAGCCAACACTCTGATCTACAGGCTAACAGTGACAGAACAGTTACTAAATCCCGATGGATTGTAGTCTTATCATGGCCGTCTTAAGCATTAGATATTTTTTAGAAATCAATTAATATCAAATTGCTTCATTGATATAATTGAGGAAGTACTAGATATTGTGACTGCATGTCTAAATTGGACACAGGGACCAATTAATCAAAGATCATCGGAAACTGACAGAAAAGGCAGAGAACTCGTACATCAAATGAAGTTTCTACTTACTAAAACAAACTGTTTGGCTCAGAAGGTGAAAACAACCAGCTCTCTCAAAGAGGGTGAAAACAACCAGCTCTCTCAAAGAGGGTGAAAATGACCAGCTCTCTCAAAGAGGGTAAAAACAACCAGCTCTCTCAAAGGGAGCCAAGACAGAATTCATAAAGATTATGAAATATGGGTAAACACATTTCATACTCTTGCATCTTGCAAAACATTATCTGTTAATTATGTCATCTAACTTTAATACATGTATATATTTAAAAGAACAAAGTAACCAACAAACATACAATCTCTGAATTTCATTGATATTGCCAGAAAATTGTCTGGGAATCTGACAACTGATTGGGCAGTAGAATGAATGTTTTGATGGTCATCTTGAAAAGGAATAAACAAGCAAATCTTTTCCAAACATGTTCTCTGTTGATTAAACATTCATTCCATCTAAGTTGGAACAAAATATTTCTTCTTTTCTGTCAGTTGTCAGTCATAATGCTTAGACTATGCACATAGCCATGAATTCTGATGTATAGACTATATGGTCATTTGATCCCTTCTTTGAATATGTTGGGTAAATCTTAATATTTAAAATTCTTCTCTTTCCAAAGAAGCGGAGGGATTAATCATTTCATCTTCACCCTATAACCAAATATACAATTGATAGGCATGAAGGTAAGAAAACATTCATGCTACAAGGATTGGCCCGGTGTGGTATATACTCAGCAGGTTTTAAATTGAAAATCAAATACCAGGTGAGCTATCCCTTGGCCTCTTGTTTCCATAACATTTAAAACATGGCGATGAATGCAAAATCTGAATAAACACAGCAATTATTTGTTTCTCATATTTTTACCACATTTTCATAATTAACAAATAAATGCATCTACGGTTCTTGCGATTTTCTTTAAGACATACCTGCCAACCCCGGATATCTGAAAGAGGTTAATGACACTCTAGTGTGCAAAGTCTTTTTCGCAACAAATGCAAGAAAAGTAGATATTAGATTAATAGTTTAATATTTGATATGATATTTCAATTATGCAACAGGTACATTTCTACAGCAATAACATCACTGACAACCCTTGTTGTATTCAGCTGTAGCAGATTTTGCAGCAGCTAATACACTGGCTGGTGGTTGATATTCATACAACTGAGCAGGGCACACAGAGTGTTATTATCCAAATCTTCTCTGAATTCAGTGTATATTTTTACAACGAGGAAAGTTCTTTCCGAGTCTGCATAACTATTTGGCAGTACCAACAGTGTTTTTTGTCAGTCTAAACAACATGAAATCTTGGTTTCTGAGTCAACATGTCTTTGACCGTAGCCATTTGTCCCGTGAACTGTTCAATCCTGTCATCATTTTCACATGCTGGAATGTCACCAACAGGGGCTTGTTGATAGTCTAAAAACTGTTCTTCCAGCAGCTCCAGCTGGTCCTCCTTCATAATTCCTGGAAATCTCTTCACCAAATTCAAAACTGAAAAATCAAAGATTTGTCAATAACATACCTTATAAAATTGACTCATATGTGAGTGCATGTACGTGTGTGTTTTTGCAGCTAAGAAAAACTCACCATTGTCTGATGTAAATCGGTGGTTCATTTGTGGGTTGATGAGTCGATGAGTCCAATATCATTCAGAGTGGTGTCAGAAAAGGGAAATTTTTATCATCTTGCTGACAATGGTTTGGTTGCTCTGAAACATAAAAAAACCATAGGAGATTTACAAATATAGAGTACAACAAACAGGGTTAGACACTAACTTTTGCTTGATAGTCCACAGGACTAGTTGAATATGTTATTTACTAGACCTTCGTCAATGTAACTTTCGTAGTCCAAGATTTCCTATAAGGAAACATCACCATATACATACAGCCCAAAACATCAAAAGTAATCGACTGTATAGGGGACTTAAAATAACTACTGCCATAAAAATATGGTGAAGTTTTAGGAAAATTTTGACAATTATCTTGCAATATATCTTATTTTAAGTAGTTTTCTAAATTTTAGAAAGGAATATTCTTATTTCATAATCATATATTTCACATGTCGCAAGAACCAGTTAGGTTGATTTGCTAGTCCTTGCTGAAATCTACTAGTCCAGGACCAGCCGACTAGTATTAGTGTTGACCCCTGACAGAGAAGAAAGTCACTGTATGATTTAGTTTCGTACTAACCTTAGATTTTTTTTTCTGTCTGCATACCAATGGCATCCTGTGAATCCACCATATAGTCTCTGTTCTACATTCCAATACTGATCAGTCCATCCCTCAACTGGTTCTCAGGATCATCAAATGGAACAGTGGTAACATCAGGGTGAGGAGATATGACAGATGCTTTGACAAATTTCCTTTGGAACTTTCTCAGTAGTCTTCGTATTTGATCACTGAAAGTTCCAATTCTTGCAGCATCAGCCTATAATATCTTAGAGAAGCTGCTAGCATCTGAAAATCTGTCAACTAGATTTACATGTAATAAATCGTTTGCATGGGTAAAAAATGGTTTGTTTGTATATGTTATTATTATGAAAATACATATAATCTTAGTTAATCACCTAAAATGCTGTATTGAATTCATTCATTGGCATCAAAATGAATTCCAAAAGGTTGAAGTATATTTTCATCTCAGGAATTTCCAAATGCTGTGCTACTCTTTTAAATCAACCTTCCTCGTCACCAACCCTACATGACTTGAAATAGCTAAGTAATGCTGGCCAGTGGTGGAGGGTATGACTCGCACACTTAATAACTACTAACCATCTTGTGCTAACATGCTTTAATATTGTGAGAAGATCAACATCCAGAAATTTGAGAAATTCTTTGTATTTCTCCTTCCACTTAGAATTCCACTTAGAACTATCTACATCGTATGTCGACCCAGTCACACTTGACTATTACGCAAACTGTGTTTGAAGTGGTAAAATATATCCACAATAAAATCTTCAACTGGTAATGGTAACATCTTGACTGCAGCACCAGAGCAAAGATTGCCCTAGTGACAGATACAGTCAATGTCCATTAGATGAGGTTGTTTTTCTTTGATTCTTTGCATACGATCAACCAAGAATACTGTGTTTCCAAAGAACTTTGACTCTCTTCTGACACTGTAGCTATGGAGAATGCATATACATTATCATAAATGACAGTTTCTGGAGCTGTATTAATGAAAGAACATTTTCATGAATTATACATAATTAATGTACCTGCTGATTGTGAAAAAGGATGGAAATCAATACACCCCTAGGGCCAGGAAATTATGCCACAATAATTTTCAATCACTGGCAGGAATGAGGTTTGGGGAGGCATGCAGAGACATTTACAGTTACAGTATGTTTTAGTCATTACCCAATCTCTCTTTAACTCCCCATCCCCGAGATACTTTTTATACCATGACCAAAATGTCACCACCCCCTCTGAAAAGTCTCATATTTCTATAGGGCAAGTGAGGTTATGTCATTGCTCAGCGTCTGTCGTCCATCCGTTAACTTTTCCTTTAAATGACTTCTTCTGAAGAATGGGGGAGCAGAGAGTCATGATATTTGGCTAAAAACTTCCTTGGTAAGATCCCGACAAGGTACGAAAATGACCTTGACCTACTTTTAAGGTCACAGGATCAAATATGTCAAACACTTAAAACAACTTCTACTGAAGTACTGAATGGTATAGAAACGTAATATTTAGCTGGTGACTTTGTGGGATAGAGCCTGACAAAGTTTGAGAATGAAAAAGACCTTGGCCTACTTTCAAGGTCACAGGGGTCAAATATGTCAAACGCTTTAAACGACTTCTTTTGAAGAACTGAAAGTTATAGACTCATGTTATTTGGCTGGTGGCTTCCTAGGGTAGAGCCCGACAAGGTTTGAGATGAAAATGACCTTAACCTACTTTTAAGGTTACAGGTGTACAAGGTCAAAGGGGTCAAATATGTCAAACCCTTAAAACAACTTCCACGAACTGAAAGGTATAGAATCTTCATATTTGACTGGTACCTTCTTTGAATGGAGCTTGACAAAGTTTGAGAATGAAAATGACCTTGACCTGTTTTTAAGGTCACTGGGGTCAAATGTGTCAAACACTTTAAATGACTTCTTCTGAATAATCTAAAAGCATAGAATTATAATAATAGGCTGGTGGCTTCCGGTGAAAGAGCCACAAAATTTTGCAAACGAAAATAACCTTAACCTACTTTCAAGGTCACAGGGGTCAAATATGTCAAACACTTCAATCTACATCTTCTGAAGAACTGAAAGTTATAGAATCTTAATATTTTGCTGGTAGCTTCTTGGCGTGGAGCCTGATAAAATTTGAGAACGAAAATGACCTTAACCTACTTTTAAGGTTACAGTGGTCAAATATGTCAAAGATATCAAACGCTTCAAATGATTTTTTCTTAAGAACTGAAAGGTACAGAATCTTAATATTTGGCTGGTTACTTCTTTGGATTGAGCATGAGAAAGTTTGCAAATAAAAATGACCTTGACTTACTTTCAAGGTCACAGGGGTCAACATGTCAAAAAAATTAACGACTCCTGAATAATCAAAAGCCGACAAAGTTTGAAATTGAAATATTTGTAGTTCAGATTAATGTTTGATGAGAATGTTTTGCTATGACTCCTTAAATATCAAGGTGAGTGATACAGGCCCTATGGGCCTCTTGTTAATCCAAATTAGTTGAACAGGACATTACTGGGAATATTTATCCATCCCTACCCTATATAGTATATAGTGATAAACAGGATATATAAAGAGTGCTATACAAAGTAATACACAAGAGTATACAGATATTGGTGTACAGAAAAATATAAGGAATGTTTTACATATAATATAGCAGGTGGTATACAAGGTATAGAAAGATAAGTAAACAGAAAGTAGTGTACATTGTATAGAGGGTGTTATTATCCATACCTACCCCACCAAATCCCCAACCCAAGGCCAGGAAATTATGTCACAATAATTTTCAATCACTGGCAACAATGAGGTTTGGGGAGGCATGTAGAAGCATTTACAGCTATTTTATAGTCATTACCCAACCTCTTCAACTCCCCCCATCCAGTGGATACTTTATATACCCTGACCAAAATGTACCCATGGATACTTTATATACCCTGACCAAAATGTACCCCGTTATTCCCTACCCCACAACATACCCACCCCTGGGGGCCATTAAAATATGTCCACAACATGCCAGTTATTTTATCATCGTTACCCAACCTCTCTTCATCTCCAAATCCCCCCCCCCCCCTCCAATTTACATTTACACCCCTATCCCTATGAAAAATAAACAATTATTACAACATGTGATACAAACATATGTCCAAATCCAATTACAAGAGTACATCTATTAGAAATTGACATACAATTATAAATATATGAAGTAGTACATGGATACAATTTTACTATATATTACATCAATCTTTAGAAATATGTTTCAAGATAGTTTGAAAAGAGTAAATCATAGTTCATTTCTAACTAATTATTTCAGTAATAAAGTTCCATTTACTTTTAGTTTTGTCCCTTTTCTTAGTACTATAGGAGTACAGACCAACCTCTTCTATTTTTTTTGTAGTAGGATAAATATAATTTACCCATGGAAAAAGACGGAGTAGTCTCCCTTTGCTTACAATAGTAGATGAAAAACTTCAAGAGTAGCAATAAAAAAAATGTTTCATAATCAAATCTAGCAATACTGACCCCAAAAAGTATTGACTGAGAATTAAATGGTAGTTCAATGCCATGTTTAATTTGTATAAGATTAAAAAATGAGGATCAAAAGACCTTAACATAGCGAGTCCCAAAATAAATGTAACATTGTCTCCCTTCCATTTTCACAAAACGTACACCTTTCTGTTTCCATTAGTTTAGCTTGCATTAATTTGACGTTAGTGTATAGAATATTATGCAATATTTTAAACTGGAATTTTCAATATTTTTATTCCAGCAAATCCTCACCCAAAGGCCAGATACCACCTCGACTGAATCTCGTACTTTGCAAGAATCCTGACTGCAGATGATGTACCGTGTGTATGTGGCAATCACTGCTGTTTGTTTGTCTTGCTGTCTCCATCAGAATGTTAAAGTCTTTTAGATTTCTATGCAGAATTCTAGTTAGAATAGTTTTCTCACAAGAACAATTTGCACAGTAAATCAGTGCTTTGTTACCTGCTAATTTTAAAAACACGACTTGGATAAAACTCTCAAGGCTGTCTAAGAAGGCAATCGTTGGCATAAAACTCATTATCTTGCCATTCCTGGTCAAGGCTGTCTAAGAAGGCAATCTTTGGCATAAAACTCATTATCTTGCCATTCCTGGTCAAGGCTATCTAAGAAGGCAATAGTTGGCATAAACCTCTATCCTGGTCAAGGCTGTCTAAGAAGAAAATGATTGGCATAAACCTCTTTATCTCGGTCAAGACTGTCTAAGAAGATAATGGTTGGCATAAACCTCTTTATCTTGGTCAAGGCTGTGAGCCTAAGATGATAATGGTTGGCATAAACCTCTTTATTTTGGTCAAGGCTGTCTAAGAAGATAATGGTTGGCATAAACCTCTTTATCTTGGACAAGGCTGTCTAAGAAGATAATGGTTGGCACAAACCTCTTTATCTTGGTCAAGACTGTCTAAGAAGATAATGGTTGGCACAAACCTCTTTATCTTGGTCAAGACTGTCTAAGAAGATAATGTTTGGCATAAACCTCTTCATCTTGGTCAAGGCTGTCTAAAAAGATAATGGTTGGCATAAACCTCTTTATCTTGGACAAGGCTGTCTAAGAAGATAATGGTTGGCATGAACCTCTTCATCTTGGTCAAGGCTGTCTAAGAAGATAATGGTTGGCATAAAACTCTTTATCTTGGTCAAGGCTGTATAAGAATATAATGGTTGGCATGAACCTCTCCATCTTNAAGACTGTCTAAGAAGATAATGTTTGGCATAAACCTCTTCATCTTGGTCAAGGCTGTCTAAAAAGATAATGGTTGGCATAAACCTCTTTATCTTGGTCAAGGCTGTCTAAGAATATAATGGTTGGCATGAACCTCTTCATCTTGGTCAAGGCTGTATAAGAAGATAATGGTTGGCATGAACCTCTTCATTTTGCATTGGTCAAGGCTGTCTATAAGAAGATAATAGTTAAGCTAAATATGCAAAAATCAATTGACATGCATTTCAATACACCACTAAACTGAAATTAAAGTTAGGTCTTATTTCAATTGTCATATATTACACTTATTAATGTTGGACATATTGCATTATTACTTAATATTCTATCCTTACGAATGATGATATTGTATATAGTGTGACAAAAATGGTATTTGTTTTGTAGTGTACAGTGTATAGAAGCTGCTATATAGGGTATAGAAAGAGAGGTAAACGTTAAGTAGTGTACAGTGTATAGAAGTTGCTATACAGGGTAAAGAAAGATAAGTAACAGAAAGTAGTGTACATTGTATAGATGGTGCTATACAGGGTATAGAAAGATAAGTAACAGAAAGTAGTGTACATTGTATAGAAGCTACTATATAGGGTATAGAAAGATCAGTAAACAATAACTAGTGTACATTGTATAGAAGCTACTATATAGGGTATAGAAAGATAAGTAAACAATAAGTAGTGTACAGTGTATAGAAGGTGCTATACAGGGTATAGAAAGATAAGTAACAGAAAGTAGTGTACATTGTATAGATGGTGCTATACAGGGTATAGAAAGATAAGTAAACATTAAGTAGAGTACAGTGTTTAGAAAGTGCTATACAGGGTTTAGAAAAATAAGTAAACGTCAAGTAGTGTACATTGTATAGAAGGTGCGATACAGGGTATAGAAAGATAAGTAAACATGAAGTAGTTTACATTGTACAGAGGGTGATATACAAGGTATAGAAAGATAAGTTACATTAAGTAGTATAAGTAACAGAAAGTAGTGTACATTGTATTGATGGTGCTATACAGGGAATAGAAAGATAAGTAAACATTCGGTAGTGTAAATTGTATAAAAGGTGCTATACAGGGTATAGAACGATAAGTAACAGAAAGTAGTGTACAGTGTATAGAAGTTGCTATACAGGGTATAGAAAGATAAGTAGACATTAAGTAGAGTACAGTGTTTAGAAAGTGCTATACAGGGTTTAGAAAAATAAGTAAACGTCAAGTAGTTTACATTGTATAGATGGTGCTATACAGGGTGTAGAAAGATAAGTACAGTGTTTAGAAAGTGCTATACAGGGTTTAGAAAAATAAGTAAACGTCAAGTAGTTTACATTGTATAGATGGTGCTATACAGGGTGTAGAAAGATAAGTAAACATGAAGTAGTGCACAGTGTATAGAAAGTGCTATACAAGGTATAGAAAGATAAGTTACAGAAAGTAGTGTACATTTGTACATTGTATTGATGGTGCTATACAGGGTATAGGAAGATAAGTAAACATTAAGTAGTGTACATTGTACAGAGGGTATTATACAAGGTATAGAAAGATAAGTTACATTAAGTAGTATAAGTAACAGAAAGTAGTGTACAGTGTATAGAAGGTGCTATACAGGGTATAGAAAGATAAGTAACAGAAAATAGTGTACAGTGTATAGAAAGTGCTATACAGGGTTTAGAAAAATAAGTAACAGAAAGAAGTGTACAGTGTATAGAAAGTGCTATACAGGGTACAGAAAGATAAGTAAACATTAAGTAGTGTACATTGTATAGAAGGTTCTATACAGGGTATAGAAAGATAAGTAACAGAAAGTAGTGTACATTGTATAGATGGTGCTTTACAGGGTATAGAAAGATAAGAAACAGAAAGTAGTGTACGGTGTGTAGAAAGTGCTATACAGGGTACGGAAAGATAAGTAAACATTCGGTAGTGTACATTGTATAGAAGGTGCTATATAGGGTATAGAAAGATAAATAAACATTAAGTAGTGTTCAGTTTATAGAAAGTGCTATACAGGGTACGGAAAGATAAGTAAACATCAAGTAGTGTACATTGTACAGAGGGTGTTATACAAGGTATAGATAGATAAGTAACAGAAAGTAGTGTACAGTGTATAGAAGGTGCTATATAGGGTATAGAAAGATAAGTTACAGAAAATAGTGTACAGTGTATAGAAAGTGCTATACAGGGTTTAGAAAGATAAGTAACAGAAAGTAGTATACATTGTATAGATGGTGCTATACATGGTATAGAAAGATAAGTAAACATTAAGTAGTGTTGATTGTACAGAGGGTGTTATACAAGGTATAGAAAGATAAGTTACAGCAAGTAGTGTACAGTGTATAGAAAGTGCTATACAGGGTTTAGAAAGATAAGTAACAGAAAGTAGTGTACATTGTATAGAAGGTGCTATACAGGGTATAGAAAGATAAGTACAGAAAGTAGTGTACATTGTATAGATGGTGCTATACAGGGTGTAGAAAGATAAGTAAACATGAAGTAGTGCACAGTGTATAGAAAGTGCTATACAGGGTTTAGAAAGATAAATAAACGTCAAGTAGTGTACATTGTATAGATTGTGCTATACAGGGTACAGAAAGATAAGTAATTATTCGGTAGTGTGCATTGTATAAAAGGTGCTATACAGGGTATAGAAAGAGAAGTTAACATGAAGTAATGTACAGTTTATAGAAAGTGCTATACAGGGTTTAGAAAGATAAGTAACAGAAAGTAGTGTACATTGTCTAGATAATGCTATACAGGGTATAGAAAGATAAGTAAACATGAAGTAGTGTACATTGTACAGAGGGTGTTATACAAGGTATAGAAAGATAAGTTACAGAAAGTAGTGTACAGTGTATAGAAAGTGCTATACAAGGTATAGAAAGATAAGTTACATTAAGTAGTGTACAGTGTATAGAAAGTGCTATACAAGGTATAGAAAGAGAAGTTAACTTTAAGTAATGTACAGTGTATAGAAAGTGCTATACAGGGTATAGAAAGATAAGTAAACATGGAGTAGTGTATATTGTACAGAGGGTGCTATACAAGGTTTAGAAAGATGAGTTACATTAAGTAGTGTACATGGTGCTATACAGGGTATAGAAAGATAAGTAAACATTAAGTAGTGTATATTGTACAGAGGGTGCTATACAAGGTTTAGAAAGATAAGTTACATTAAGTAGTGTACATTGTATAGATGTTGCTATACAGGGTATAGAAAGATAAGTAACAGAAAGTAGTGTACATTGTATAGAAAATGCTATACAGGGTATAGAAAGATAAGTAAACATTAAGTAGTGTACATTGTACAGAGGGTGTTATACAAGGTATAGAAAGATAAGTTACAGCAAGTAGTGTACAGTGTATAGAAAGTGCTATACATGGTTTAGAAAGATAAGTAACAGAAAGAAGTGTACATTGTATAGATGGGGTTATACAAGGTATAGAAAGATAAGTAACAGAAAGTAGTGTACATTGTATAGATGGTGTTATACAAGGTATAGAAAGATAAGTAACAGAAAGTAGTGTGCAGTGTATAGAAAGTGCTATACAGGGTATAGAAAGATAAGTAAACATTAAGTAGTGTACATTGTACAGAGGGTGTTATACAAGGTATAGAAAGATAAGTAACAGAAAGTAGTGTACAGTGTATAGAAAGTGCTATACAAGGTATAGAAAGATAAGTAACAGAAAGTAGTGTACATAGTACAGAGGGTGTTATACAAGGTTTAGAAAAATAAGTAACAGAAAGTAGTGTACATTGTATAGAAGCTACTATACAGGGTATAGAAAGATAAGTAATAGAAAGTAGTGTACAGTGTATAGAAAGTGCTATACAAGGTATAGAAAGATAAGTAACAGAAAGTAGTGTACATTGTATAGAAGCTACTATATAGGGTATAGAATGATAAGTAAACAATATGTAGTGTACAGTGTATAGAAGGTGCTATACAGGGTATAGAAAGATAAGTACAGAAAGTAGTGTACATTGTATAGATGGTGCTATACCGGGTATAAAAAGAGAAGTTAACATTAAGTAGTGTACAGTGTATAGAAAGTGCTATACAGGGTTTAGAAAGATAAGTAAACGTCAAGTAGTGTACATTGTATAGATGGTGCTATACAGGGTACAGAAAGATAAGTAAACATTCGGTAGTGTACATTGTATAAAAGGTGCTATACAGGATATAAAAAGATAAGTAAACATTAAGTAGTGTATATTGTATCGAAGGTGCTATACAGGGTTTAGAAAAATAAGTAACAGAAAGTAGTGTACATTGTATAGATGGTGCTATACAGGGTATAGAAAGAGAAGTTAACATTAAGTAGTGTACAGCGTATAGAAAGTGCTATACAGGGTATAGAAAGATAAGTAACAGAAAGTAGTGTACATTGTCTAGATAATGCTATACAGGGTATAGAAAGAAAAGTAAACATTAAGTAGTGTACATTGTACAGAGGGTGTTAAACAAGGTATAGAAAGATAAGTAACAGAAAGAAGTGTACAGTTTATAGAAAGTGCTATACAGGGTAT